ACACTGTGGAGTGTTAACACAGTTCAGCTAGTCAATATGAGTCAGATATGAGATGTCAGCATACCCAGCATAATGATACATTTATCCTTTTAACTGCTCCTACCACTAAGTCCTTTACTTTTCACATGCATGCCATTCCTTACTACTTACCTGTAGTAGCATACAGGCTGTGCCATTGTGATCAGTTAGGCTCCAAACACTTATAGGTGAAAATACTGGAATATTTTGTGTATTGAAGTGTGTATTTTGTGTATTTTTTGGTGATTGTGTGCTTGTGTATTTGAATATTGAAGGACTTTGAGATCATCTGCATTTTTCAACCTCCTGAAGTCTAAAGGCAGCTTCACCTTTGACAGCAATGTCCTAGACAATCTTTACTTTGGGTCTACCAACAGGCTTTTTCATTTCAAACAGAAACTGTACTTAGCTTTCAAAGGCTGATGATTCTCCTTCATGTAATGTTACTCCTGGGGCACCAAAAATGACAAAAAACATCTCCCCCAAGTGAAAATTGCAGAATTCAGACATTAGTGCAAGGGCAAAAAGAGATTTGGTTTCACCTAGCCAAGGCATTAACGATTTAATGGGATGGAACTCTCCAACCCTGCCGTCTCATCCAGACACCCTTTGCTCAGCCACAGGGACCTATTTGCTGCTGCCACTCAGTGTCCCCAGCCAGAGCTGGGGAATCTGCATCTTTCTGCAGCATTCTCAACTTCTTGTCATATTTTCAGCCCACAAAACACAACCTAAACTAATGCGCCAGGTGGTTCTGTTGCTTTTTTGTGCTTCGCAAGAGGTTCTACCCATAGTTTTTTCCTGCTGTAGCTTTATTTTGTGTTTCCACAAAGTGCTTTTCTGGGTTCATGCCAATGCTGGGAATGTAGAGTCGGAGCAACACATGGAGTTTTGAGGCAGACTGCACAGACAGGTATTTGAGATCTACACAATGAAAACTTGGTCTGCAAACCTTGAAGTTAACCAGGACCTGACAGGACAGCTTAGAATTTAAAGCAGATGTGTCACAGGAGCATTTTCCACTGATTTTCTCCCAAATACTTGTGCTCTGAGCAACTGTTCCTCCTGTCTTCCTCTTAGCTGCCTTGTTGCAACATTTGCAGTTTTACATACAGGTCCTTATTTAGCCAACCAGCTAACAGAAACACAGCTTTCCATTGAAGGCTAATTTAAAATCTCTCAAGCACATGTCCTCAGCTGTTGCAAAATTATGCCACTAAGTGCAATAGGCTCTGTCATTTTACATCAGCTGAGAATCTACTTGCGAGGGCAAAATAAGTGGATGCAGCTGCAGTTCTCTTCCTTGGGAGTTGCCCCTCATACACAACTGACTGCAGGTGGCTGAGAGATGGTATTTAAAAAGGACAAGCTTTAATTTTGGGGGTTTGGAATTTTTTATTTTTATTTGTTTGTTTTGTTGTTTGTTTTTTTTTAATTGATATATCTGGTGGAGTTCATTCATGTGCTCTCTCTGATAGCTGCCTAGGGCCTTTAACCCATCATACTCTAACACAGAGGAACTGACATGGGATGGAACTATCTTAGAAAACAGATCATGAGATCACAAGTGAAACGTTAACTCTCATGCCGTATTGTGTGGCAGAAAGATAAAATTGAAAATGGGACCCCTTTTTTCTTCAAATAATACAGTGCCATTCAATCGACTTAATTATCCCTAAAGACACATCTAATAATTGTTGGCCTGTCAATCGAAACTCTTATTAGACATGCACATGACGTCACATCACAGTCTAACAAACCGTCCTGCCAGTCAAAAGGCTTTATATAGATAATCTGATTTCGAAGGCAAGTTTCTGTTTGACCTTTCACCCAGCTTCTTGAGGGCTGAAATTGGAAAGGAGCTGAGTGTGTGCTACTGAGGTGCAAGAATGGGCTCTGGGCTGTCCTTTAGGGTTTCTCCCCAGCCATGTTCTGCTTTATGCTGCAGAATGGAGCCTGGAAAGGGGGCTCTGCCTTGGATGGCTACGTAACCTGGGGTGGGTTTGCATAGCTACAGCAGAGCTCTTCATGCCCTTCTTCTGGCCTGTCTGTACCACAGTGTTAATTCCCTGGCTGCTTGGGGTATCACAAACCCATGCTTCACTGAGATACCTGCGCCAGGTTTTGAGATGATACAGTCCATCCCCTGCACACTGTGCGTACCCACTGTGCTGCTGTGGCCATGCAGCCATAACAGTGATTGCTGTGCTGGGGAAATCCCAGAGCCTTTGTCCCAGGAGGAAATATCTGCCTTGCTAAGTGAAAAGTGTGAGTGCCTGAGCAGAGCAGGCACTGTACTGACTGCCCACTGTACTGACTGTACTGACTACTTGCCAGCCTGTGTGTCAGGGTGCCAAGGGGGATAGAAACGAATGCACTAATAATTACTGCAATTTAAAAGGCAGCTCCATTCAGAATTCTCAGAACAAACAGACAGGCACGTCAAACTGTTGTACTGCACACTGTTCAGGGTGCCATTGTGCCACCCTGAGCAGCTCCGGGCTGTCACACATACCGTATACGCTGCTCTGTGCCTGCCCAGCCTGTGACAGGCTTTGGAGATGCTGGATTCCCTGTGCTAGCAAGTGCAGGTTAACGCAGATACTGCATGTATTCAAGGCATCCCTGCAAGTGCAGCACCAGATTCATAGATGCAAATATAAAATTGTCACTGTCAATAGCTTTCAATTCTTTCTCAAATGGCATTTGATGGAAAGCAATTCATGATATATCTGGTTGCTGGAAAGGTCACCTGTTCTGTTGGGGTCTCTTACTGTCACTTCTCTCCACATTCCCACAAGTCCAGGCAACTCTGTTTCTCATCTTTACAAGGAGGAACCGATGTTGTAAGATGATGATTACCCCATCGCGCTTGACACCCTCTACAATGTTTAGAGTGAAAAAAGCTGTGCTTTCCTAGTGGACCTGGCAGGTGAGTCAGAGCATGGAGAGACTTCTCCATTGCAAAGCACTTGTCAAGACAGTGGTGTCATACAAGGCTTTTTGATATCTGCAGCTGGACATCAGATCTGAAGAGGTTATAAATTTATTTACTGATAGTGCATCGAGCTTCTTGTACTCGGCTGTACTGCACTTCAAGTCTCTTTTGAACAAAAGCAAACGGCAGAGGCTGATGCTTTCAAGATAATATCATTTGTCTCTGAAAATCTGCTTTTTAGATGTCAGGCAAAATAATTTCACAATAGCTAGTAAAGATGTTGTCTGGCATTGCTGTATTTTTACTGGTCTTGAACGTAACTTGAAAATATTACGACCTTATTGTAGTGTTCAATTTCCTATCAATTTTTCAGACAGTCTGATAGCACAAATGATAAAAATGCATGTAATTAGACATCATTGCTAAAGCTGAGAGACTATGGAGAAAGCCACACAGCAAGCTTCCTCTGCATGTGAACATCAAAGTGCTTTCTACACTTTGCCATGAACTACAGGCAAACTCAATGTCAGCAGGAAAAGTTTCAGTAAACAATGAGAAAAAAAAGCACTGCCTTCATGTTTGAAGGAGACATTTTCCCTTCTGAAAGAAGCTAAAATCAAAATGTCACATCTGCAGGACAAAGTTGCTGTACTGAGGTTGGCCCTGCAAGCATCATCTTGCATAGCCAGTATAAATGGCTTCAATGCAGCTCTCCTTCCTGAAGATTACTCACAGAAAAGGGGATTGCTCACACGTTCTTCTGGTTCAGACGCAATCAAAAGATCTAGGTGATTTTCAGCTATCTTTCTTGGAAGTGGAGTCTACTAATGCAACACTAGTTGACTCCTGTGGGAGAGAAACAGCAGAGGAATGACCAGCTGGTTCAGTGGACCAGCCTATGATTATCCAAATATTAGGATGCCAAAACCTTTACCCTATTCTGCTTTGTCTTCAGTCGTCAGTGAAAACGGTTTCTTCTTTAAAGCTGATAGAGTTTAACAGTTGTCCTTGCAGTTAAAACAGCAACAGGAAAAACCTAACCAATCAAAAGCAGCGACTGAGGTTTTATAAAACTTTTGTTGGAATAAATATCATTTGAGTCATTCTCCTCTGATTCACCTATAGCTCATGTGCAAGCAATCCCCTTCCACAGAGGAATTAGACTGCACTCAATCCCTAGTAAATTCAGCTGATGAGATGCCTCCACTGACCCTCCATCATGGCAGCATCTCTCCCTGTCTGACCCCAGGGCATGTTAATGTTGAGAGCTGTAATTCAGCATAATTCTGCTTGGTACACAGGCTGCCATGTGTCCGGGGGCTCATCAGGGATGAGCAGAGAGTTTATGAACTTTCTGGAGCTTGCTTCCAAGATATCTCCTGCTCAAACGTCATAAAGAAGTCACTGGTCCTTACTGGAACAATCTTACTCCTTTTAGCTTGGGGTTCAAGCTTTAAGCTGCTCTTCTCTACCTTGCTCTTGGAGGAAGGGGAAAAGCTGGGAGACTAGAAACATTCTGCAGCAACCTATGGTGAACCATAAAAGCAATCTTCATTTTTTCTGGCTGATCACCCCTGAAATCCTGGTACAACTGTTGAGATGCACAACATTGAAAGGGGGCAAAAAGTTGTGTAATTGCTGTTAGTTTTACTTTAATATTTTTTGCTGTGTTCCTTTAGAAGGTCTTCGTGAATTCTATATAACTTCTGTCACGGAAGAGTTAAAGAGGCAGCACATTGTGGCTCTGCATCCACTGCTGTGTCTCCTTTAGTCTGGGATAACACAAGTTTGTGGTGGCTTCACTCTTAGGATGATGTCTGCCCCTTGTAATATTTGTTAGATCTTATAGAATCCCCTTCTTATAATAAATTACATCTTCTTAGTGATACGTAATTTTATACAAATATTATAGTCTTTACTGAATGATGTCCATGGATATGGGGAGGAGAGGCAAGTGAAATGCATTCTTCAGCTGTTGCCTAGCAGGACAGGTCTTCATTGAGAGACGTTTCTTTTTATTAACCTCTTACACAAACAGCAAATCTTTATTTAATTCAGACACCTTTAATTATAGTTTGATGTTACCATAAAACAACAAGAAACAAAGAGAAATCTCCATGCAAGAAAGAAGGCATGACATCCTGTCGCTGAGGATTTGCAGCGGTTTGGAAGTATGCTTAATTCAAACAAGAGTGCAGAAGTACTTCTGATTCAACCCAAGAGCAGGTTAACACTGAAAGGGATTTTTTCTGCTCTCTCCAACCCTGGCCATTAGGTCCAATTGCCCCTTTTGTGCTGCTTCTATGCAATGTGTTGGATCACTGTAAGATGAAATCATTGTTCCATAAGATGACTCACATTACAAAGATGTACCCTGAGACCCTATCATTAAATCCCCCAGAAGTGGTCCTCTAAAAGTCCTCCTCTTAAGGGTGCCAGAATTGTGAAAGCAGAAGGCATTTGCATTTCCCTTGAAGACCCAGTCTCTCCATCAGCCCTCAGAGCAGTTTGCTGACTAAACGTTCTATGCATTTGAATAATTTAACATATGAATAAATTCATTTATGCTGAATGAAGAGGTGGACTACTGGGACGAAGTAATGCCAAAACAACAAAATCAAAGCAGGGGAGGTAGAGGAAATGAACGCATAACAATGGCAAGCGGTACTGTCTGCCCAGGCACCAGGAGACAGCTGTGACCACATCTGAAATACGAGAGTGTGGGGAGGTATGTAGCAACACCTAAAAAGGGCTTTAGAATAAGCAGAGCTGAGTAAAATCCAAGCTGGATTTTCTGAGCTGAAAGAAATGTGATTGTTACAGAATGACTGAAAACTTAATTGCAAGTTTTATGTCTTATTCCAAATTTTCCAGTTCAGAAAGTACGTAAGTAACATTCCCATGCCTTTTACTTTCCACTGGCAGTTAAGAAATAGAAGTCTCAGCTTCTGCCAAATGATCTGTCATACCAAGTCCTTGACCTTGGCAGCTCATAGATGCACGTTACAGATGCATGCAGCACAAAACCTGAAAATATTAAAAGCCAGATCTCAAATAGTGTACACTGGCATTGGTCCAACTTACACCAGCTGCTGATCTGCTCTGTAAATGTCTTAGAGCAGTAGCAGTTGGAGGGATGATGGTTTGCATTCACTAAATGCTGATGAGGGCTACCTAACTAGTCATGCTTTGCTCGCATTTGTATATTAAGCATTTTTAAAATCCCTCTTTCTTCAGCTGTTCTTCAAAGAAATCATTGCATGCCACAGTCAAAGCAGCAACCAGAATGACAAATTCGTGAAAATCCACTTCATTGTCTTTGTTGGAGTCCAGATCTTTCATAATGTTATCAACCAGATGCGGGTCTTTTTGTCCCTAAAGAGAAAGAAAAGTGACTTAGCTGTACAGATCTTGAGTGAGGAGGGCAGACACACCCGGCAGTGCAACCCACTGCTATGTTACAAGCCCCAGTGCTATTAAATAAAAGGCTGCACACAGTATGCACCTGAATATTAACATGCCACTAGCTACAGCATTAAAAACATAGGTCTGGAGCCCCAGAAGTGCACAGCAATAGAAATCAAAGACAGCACAGCTTTTAGAAGAAATACAGGTACTATATAAGCACTGAAATGAATCAAATGGATTTCATGAGCTGCTAAGCACTGCTTTCTTTTGACAAGATGGATCTATAACATGCATTTCTCTGTATCATCTGTTAACAAACAGTACTTAGATTTTCAATCCAACCATAAGTGGTAGTATTATACATCCATTCATCACATTCAGAAGATCTCTACTTAGGAAAAACCACATCCTATTCAGTGTGAGTAAGAACAGTGAATGTTGTAATAATCAATAGCCAAGGTTAAAAGAAAATCCAATCCAAGGAAATGGACATTAAGTAAAAAATCCTGCTGATGATTATAATGTCCACAACAATTTTTACAGTTAAGAGGATACCGAAAGCCAACTGTGAGCCTGGTCATTGTTCCATTAAAAGCACCCATGCTCTGTAATGCAGAACATAACAAACATGCGAAGAGATATTCAGACCAACGGCTTACTGCTGAAAGGGCTTTCTTATCATCTCTGTGTAGGGCACACAAGGAGCTGTACTGTGTCTTTAGCTACTTTGCACAAGCTGCTTTCTTGTCTCATAAGAACTGGTTGCTGGATTTAATTCTTTGAAGGACTTACCTGTATCTCATTATTAAAAATTAACAAATTTAAAAAAATTGATTAAAGCTTGTTTTAGCATAAATTTTGTTATTATTTCTAGGCATCCTTTGTCCTCCTGCTATGAAGCACAGAGGAAGGAGTAAGTCGAGCAAGGTAAGTAAGGTACCTGTGCCTGTTGCTGGTGGTGCAAGGCAGAGCACCGGGAGCACTGGACAACCCTCTGAAAACACACTTCTCTATGGGGACCTTGATCTCATCTCCTTCTGTCTGTCAGGATGTGCCTTTCAGAAGGAGATCCTGTTCCTGAACACTTGGGTAGCTGCTTCTCCCACCCATGAAACTAAATCAAGATGTTCAGGAGCTGCAGCTTACTGAAAGGAAGTCAGTGAGCTCCCTGGTGAGGAGCTCCTTGAGCTCTCCTTCACTGAGCTTGTATCTGTCTCCTTCTTTGCCAGAGTAGTGATGGGAAATCCTGACCAAGGTGTCCACCGCATCCTCCAGAGGTGTGGACATAACAATGAGAGGGAGATCTGTAGGGTAAAGACCCAGAGTCAGTGACATTGTGAAGGAACCAGACCAAAGGCTGGTCTCAGGGAAGGGCTGGAGAGCTAGCTGAAGAAAGAAATTGTTGCCAGAACTGAAAAAAAGAGTTTTCAGTGATCCATTCTCACAGATGTGTGTGAGCAAGGCTAGACTGTTAAAAATAAAGCATTGTCGTGAACTCACTAGCGATTGCTTCAAAAAGGTAAATGGAAAGGAAAGTCTTTATAAGACAGTGATCTACCATGCATCATTTCAAAAGCTACTGTAAAATGAAATGTCTCATACCCACAGCTGAAAACACAGGAAAAATGAAGGCACAACCTGCTACCTGTTCATTCAAAAGTTTTCTCAATAAAATAAGATCAAGAAATAACAGCAGCCAAAGTGGATGAGTTATACAGAATGCTCTACACCAGTTTCTTAAATGGTTAGAGGAAAATCACCAGTAATAAGTACAGATGCATCAGCTTTTGATTTATGCAGTTGTGTTTGCTTGGGCTGACATTTTTTCTTGTCAATCGCCTGAAATAAACAGGGCTAGGCATTGCTGAGGGTTTACTTCATAGAGCATGCAGTAAGAAGGTACGCAGGGAAGCACCACCAAGAAAAAAGGTGGAAATACAATTAGCTGCTGACTAGCTGACTCAAAAATTAACTTAATATAGAAATCAGGTGAAAGGGAACATTATGTTGATTAAGCCTCAGGAGAGAGATTAAAAAGCCAGAATGAAATTCAAGGTAAGACTGGAGTTGTGAATGATATCACCATGCAAAGGCTAAGGCTTACCTGCTTATGGGGTGGCTGAGGTGTTTGCCAGAAAATGCTCAGATCACAGAAGATGATAGTTACCTTCCTTTCAAAACTTGTGCACAGACTCTTGTTTATCAGGCTGAGAAGGTGGATTACATATATACAGACAGACATATCATTGTCACAAGGATGACGGGGCTTCTGTTTCCTTCTGCATTTGCCTACTCTGCTCAATAAAAGCCGCTTGCTGTAAATGGGTCACTAAAATATTCACTAGGCAGAGCAGAGGGCTGTGTGTGGAACATAGGAGATGTTTCTTATCATTTGAGCTTTCACAGATATGCTCATCTGGGGGCCTGAAGGTCAAAATTAGAAAAATCCAACAATCACCATGTCAGTATAAACCAACTTTCAACACAACTCTTTCTAATCTGTCTCCCATCACTTATATGGCCAAGAGCCTATGTGGGTAGTGGCAACCAGTCAGTGTTCACAAAAATGCTTGGGTACTAGGGGTACGTTTGCAGGTGAGCTTGCCACAAATCCCTGGAGACATCTGCCTTTATTGTCAGATGTCTCTGTAAGCCTAAAACGTTGGCTTTGCTGAATGAAATTCTTGCTCTGGTACACATATCCTCAGGAGGAAATGAGGAAACCAGTTTCAGAGGAAGCTGTGCCTGAAATTACAGTGTGCACTGATCAACAGGCTTGGCTTCATTTTTATTAGTGCCACATAACAACTGCAGTTCCGCATCTCTCTTTTAATAAGTGATCTTCCCCCAGAAGGGCTTCCTCTGCTCTGAAACCCAGAGACTTGTTGACCCTGGGGGCAATGGCTGAGGGATGTAAGAAAGATGCATGGTAGAGCCGACTTACCACCCAAAATTCCAAATAACCACATAACCACAGTTTTCACAACAGCCACACGAAATGGAAAACTGCTTAATTTGTGTTTTCTTTTCCTCAATAAAGCCTTCTGTCTGCTGTACACAGCAAGCACAACTGTGCAGAAAAACAGCAAGAGGTTACAGAGCTGCAGGTCATTCTTTCTTTTATGCCAGACAGGGGGAAAGAGAATGAGATGGGCACTGTTTTTAGCTCTGAAAGTCTCCTGGCACTTGTAGATTTGAGTGCCCAGTAGGTTTCATCCCACATCTCTGACTGCTGCCTTTGCTTCCAGACATCTTTCTTCTGTCTGCACCATTGTGACAAGTCACAACCTGAGGGGTCTTGTCTCTGCCTCTGGGAGAAGGGGGAGGAAAAGGGGGGCTACATAAAAATGCTGGATCCAGTGGTATGAGAGGTGATTATGGGTAAAGCATTGCTCCTGAAAGAGTAGGATGGCTCTTCTGGTTAGAGGTCCCTGCCAGCATGCACCACACTGCATGCAGGGCATATGCCTTCACCTCCCAATCACTGCAGTGGCGAGTGCTCACCAGGAATGGGGGAAGCCAATGCTCAGATAAACTTCAGAAAAGGCCCCAGTGAAATCAGCTGGAAATGCTGATATGCAACAAGAGGAACCTAATTCCTCCTGGAGTCAGAGGAGAGCTGGGGAGGAGAGCTGCTCTGCGTACCTTTCCTCTGTTTGGGAATAGCTGATGAGTGCCCAGTTTTACACAGATGGAGTCCCTGTGCACCAGCAAGTACAGGGATCTAGCTGGACCATATGTAGCATGTGGGAGAATAACATGGGTGATGCCAGATGCAGCACAGCTCTCCCACTCAGATGCTGGACATTCTCTAGTCTTTGCAGATGCTAATTAAAAGCATGGAGTCTCTTATGTAGTTAGTTACAGCCATGTAGGGCTGTGTGTTGCTTGTGATTCACTAGTGCTTGTAATTACTGCACAGAAATACTAACCAGTTAAACATCAAAATCCTGTATTTTTTTTTTGCTGTTTATTCAAGAACAGTTTCACCCACAGAACAAAAAACCATGGCTGTGTGAATACGTAATTATAAAGTCCTTCTGTTTGTCTATATATTACATTGGTTCTCTGGCTGATGAATATTGCAAATTAATTATCTAAGCAGAGTCTACAGGAGGTACAACTTCCAGGAAGCAGGTATAATCTTTCAGTGCTACCATTCTCAGGACTAAAGAAAGGTTTCCTCTATCATCTGCCAGGACATCAGCTCAATAATTTATATAGTGATATAATCTGTGCAGTCTCTTTCAATAGCTACTTTCACTCCAGCTAATTGTGTAAGAAACTCTCTACTCCACACTAGTGGATTTCATGTATACAGGGGATGGATGCACTCTGTTTGTCCAGAGGTGCAGCCAATTTGCTGTGTCCATCCCTTTCCTCCCTGGCTAGTGAAATCCTGTCAGTGGCTTCAGTGGCAGCAGATAGCTCCTAACTCCTGTGAGGGCAGGTCCCAGAGACTACACAAAGTTCATGATTATCAATCAACTGGTTTTAATCTTTGTCCAAAACTCCAGCAGAATTTGGTTTTGTATGATACCTAATGGGCCCTGTATGATAAATCAGTGCATCCTGCAAGCAGTTCTGTATCAAGGCAAGATCCAGATCCATGACAGCAACAAGCATTCTCCCATCAGCCCTTCCTCCCCTGCATTCTGGTTTCCACAGGCTAAATACAGAAGCACCACCAGGCGCATGGTTGTCAGAGGGAGTAGGACTGCAGCACCTCGGATTCTGTGTTCAGTTCTGGACTCCTCACTACAAGAGAGACACTGAGGTGCTGGAGCAAGTTCAAAGGACAACGAAGCTGGTGAAGGGTCTGGAGCACAAGTCTGATGAGGAGCAGCTGAGGGACCTGGAGTGGTTTAGTCTGCAGAAAAGGATGCTCAGGAGGGACCTTATTGCTCCCTATAACTACCTGAAAGGAGGATGGAGTGAAGTGTGTGTCAGTCTCTTTTCCGAAATTAGAAGTGACAGGACAAGAGGAAATGGCCTCACTGAAAGCATAGTAAGGCATTGGAACAGGCTTCTCAGGGACATGGCGGAATCACTGTCCCTGGAAGTGCTCAGAAACTGTAGATGAGGCCCCTAGTGGTTTATGGTGGACTTGGCAGTCTGGGGGTAATGACTGGACCTGATGATCTTAAAAGCCTTTTCCAACCTAGCTGGTTCTATGATTCTATGATTCTGTGATTCTGTGACTACAGACATGGTGAGTATTGGTGCTCCCTCATTCATGACCAAATTTTGTCAATCAGAACCTGCCAAATGTGGTGGGAAGGTACCTCTGAAGGTGCCTAGTCCCACTTCCTGCTCGAAGTGGGACGATCACCATTGCCAGACAAGGTCAGTGATGGCTTCATCCAGTTAACTCTTGAAAACCTCCAAGGATGGGATTACACAAGTTCTTGTGTAACTTGATCCAGTGCTCTACTACCTGCCTGGGGAAGATGGTTACCTTAATATCCAGCCTGAGCAACCCAAACTGCAGATGTAGGCATTAGCCCATTTTGCACCACCTATCACTACCATAAAGCATTTAAGTTTGTTGAATTTATAAATTCTCTTCAAAGAATCTTGGCACCTCACTCAAACTCAACAATAAATTTAAAAGTAACCTGTTCCCTGATTCACCCAATCTGGTTTTAGTGGTGTTTTAGTGTTCCCTTTATGTTACCTGCTTGCCCCTTGAGGACTGCTCCAGCTGTTCTCTTCTCAGTATTTCAATATTAAAGTGTGCCTTGTAGAATCAATGGCTGAAGGGTAATGAAAAGCAGAAGAGTAGGCTTCTCAGCTGGCATGGCACAAATGCTCTATAGGTCCGAACTCTGCCATCTTTACTCAAGGAGTAATAGATGCTTACGGAATGAGTCAGCCATCTGATCTTACCAGAGGCTGCTGAGAGAGGCAGAGGTTGTTCCTTGCTCTGTAAACGTGAGAAAGACTCAACCAGCTATGACTGTTTCCTTTAACTCTGGTTGGTGTAGGGAAGAGATGAACCCAGCTGGGAAACTCGCTGGGACTGTTTCTTCCCTCCCACATGGGGCAGCCAAACTACAGGCAGAAAATCTTATCACTGGTCTCATCTCCCTCAAAAAAGCTGAGCAGAGTTCTGCTCTGTGTGAAAGCAGTGAGCCCTTGACATAGGTCAGCAGCTTTTTTCTTCCACAGCTGGGAAGGAGAAGCTTTGGCTTCTTTACCGGAATTTTTCCTTCGTCTCTTCTTGAGACAACATAACACGGGCTTCCTTTAGAGCCAGAGCAACCTAAAAAGTACCAGTCTAAACCATAGTAAAATACTGCTCAGCTTAAGTGGGAGGATCTCATACTTAGGGCATCTGGTTTTCAACATTTGCCAGAATGCATATGGGGAGTATTTTCTCACAAATCATTATTGCACTGGGAAAGGCAAGTCAGCCTCCCACCCATATCCTGTCATTATTTATTTTTCCCAAACTCACACTGTTTTTGGGATGCACGTGTTTTGAGTCAATGTTGCACCCCCAGAGTGGCAAATGGTGTGATGGGAAGCAACAGAGAACACTGCAAAGCTCAGAAGGACCAATACACTAAAAAGCTTACATTAGATTAAAGCCTATATTAGTCTAAAGATTTTATTAATATAGACTAAGTGTTTAAGAGCTTTATGTTCAAAATACATTTGAACCAGTGTTTTTGTTGAGTTAAAATAGGCATGTTTACATTTTTAGGATTATTATCATTTTCCTTTATGTTTTGTTTCCATATATGGGTGGTTGATTGGTTCATCCATTTACATAAGGCACACTTCCCTTCCCCACAGGTTCTTTAAGACCGTTTTAACCCCTGTGATTTCACAGGCAGCAGAAGAACAAAGGGCTGTTAAAGCTCCTGTCACCTAAATTCTGTGGTTTACTCTGTAGGCATCTTTTTTAATGGGTTACACTTCCAGGGCTGCCCAACTGAAGGGCATTCTGATCTCGTTCTCTGCTGAGCCCTGTTTTGGACAAGATTGTACACTTCTTTTCCACATATATAAATAACTTTTTTTATTGAAATGTCCAGATCATTGAACTCTGCTTGTTCCCAGAGAGGTCATTTCTCTTGTGATACTTGTTTAGGACAGAAATTGGAGCACTGTCTGTACTTGAGGTACTGACTTACTGCTCCCTTCTCCTCCCAGAACATCAGCCACCATTTCCTCCCCTGTGAGAAACCACCCGTTACTACAATATGAAGGCAACATCAAATTGTATAGGAATATACTGCTACCTGATAAATAGCCTAGATTGCCTTCATTAACCCTAAACTGGAGTTATGAAGTGACACTCTGGCTCGAAAATTCTTTCTTCCTCATAAGCCTCTGAAGCAGATATATGTATTCAGCTGTGTTTCAGCCATTTATTACTTTAATGTAGTCTATTTATGCCAAGGCTGGATAGCAAAATAGTGTAAAATACCCCAGTGTAGACAAAGCTGGAGCCAACTCTGCCTCAGGTACTATTAGAGGTCCTGTTTCAGAGCAGCTCTCCCATCTGTAAGTGGTGCCAGCTGGCTTTGATAGCTCGTGTTTCAGCTAGGATTTGGCAATGCCTCATCTTCTGAACAAAGCCAAACCAGCAATTCCCTTTGTGTTAAATCCACTGACCAATATGCCAAACCCACCCTTTGGAGACATGCTGGTTCTGAACTGACTCATGTTTCTTCTTAATTCAAACTCCTATCAATGTTCAGCAGCCTGTATCCTAATTCACTTCAACATCCAGTTATGCTTCATAACTACTGGGACCTCTGTCACAGGATGGTGGCCAGGTCACCTACCAGGTTGTAGCAGTAGGAAAACCTTAGACAGGTTTTCCCTGGTCCTGGGTTGGCTGCTGAGTGTCTCCTGACTCAGTTCCTCCTTCCTGGTCTCCAACCACACAGCAGCTATTACTCTGGGGATGAGTTTCCCAGGGCTGGTGTGACTAATTGATGGCAAAGAGTGCCTTGAGCAGCAAAAGCCCCTGGCCCATACAGCTACATGCTTGTACTTGCTCTTGACCATGACGTGATGCATTAACCCTCCAGATGCAGAGTTCACTGCATCTTTTTCATTCTTTCTGC